TAGTTAGCCATCTCTTAATGATAATTACTAAAAAGTGAATTAGCACCTCTTAGAGAATTCCCTCTTAGAGGGAAGAGGCAGTGAGAAAACCCCAGGCAGATGTACTTGTAGGGATACAGTTTTTACCCAGTGAGAATTTTCTTTATGATTTGGCCCAAAGAACGGGGAAATCCCCACAAACTAAGGCACTTAAATTAAATTACCATCAAATCCACATCCCATCTATGACCTGTAGTTCAGTTCGTCACTATGCATCAGTACAAACAGTGATAACCAGTGTGAACAACCTCAAATGAATCACTAACAGTCTTGTTCATTGTTTCTGGCTATGACTAACAGGACAGACCTTTAGAGATACAGGGAAACATGGGGATGTTGTTCTAGCATAGCATAGGCATGCTAGCTAGTTACACCAGCAATAGAGAGCAGATAACAGCATGGTAGCTAACTACATAACCAATCTGTGGCATTTAGATTGGTTGATGTAACATTTCTCATTATGGTGCTTTTTTTTTTGAAAAGTCTACTTTTTCTGAAATGTTCTGTCATTGTAATGGCCTCATTTCAATATAACTGACTTGGAGGAAAGCTAGGGATAAAAGAACATAACAGTCAACATGCATTTGATGCATGATTTTGTGTAATCGGTAACATACAAAAATGACTTTTTCACAAGACTCAATAAACTTTTGACTGAGGGTGCAAGAAAAAAACTGGAGTGTTGATTTTGTTGCACTTAAATGTTGTATTTTTCCCTTCAGCAGAAGATAAGAGCCTTTTTTTAGTCTGTTGTAGATGTACCTTCATCAGGTACATCAAACAGAGCCTGAGCTCAAGGCGAAATAAATAGATAATGAGGAAACATGACACAGGTGCGAAGAATCAGCTGATTAACCAACCACTCCCACTGAATGTCCCCATCCCACGCCTGACCACACCTCAGCCTCCTGCAGCATTAAATCACATTTAAGTACAATTTCCACAGAAGCCAAACTTGTAACATTTCATAGTGAATAATGTGACAAAGAAAGAAGCCAGACATGAGTAATCAAGTTAGCACCACTTCTCACAATAGTTTAGGAGATGTGACACGTAGTGTCCATTCTTCAGTTTTTTGTCCTTTTAGTCAATGCTTACATCATTAGGTACTGGAGACCAAATCGTCCTTTACTACAGTTTCCCAGGCATGTGGCTATTCAGAGCTGGCGAACTTAGAGTGCTCATTCTACATCAGGGGTGCTCAGTCTTGGTCCTTGAGATCTACCACCTTCTTCCACACCTGCTCTAGATAATGAACTTCTTGGGAAGTCCCCGATTGGCTGGATCAGATGTATTAGTGTTAGGTAAGCAGGTGCAGCATGTGTGACACAGGTTAGAACTAAACCATGTAGAAAAGTAGATCTCCAAGAGGAGAGCTGGTGACTCTGCTATACAGAATTAGGTTCAGTTAGAACCATTTAAAATGTTTCCATTTAATCTATAATGAAACCACAAATAATTCTGCAAAACCTACCAGTTTTTATTCATGTAAAATTTTATTGTAACTTTTCCATCATTTGCCTGTGCTCAGCTTAGTCCATGCTGTGATTTAGATGACTGAGAGGATTTAAGAGACTTTATAAGTACAAGGGCTGGACATGCAGTATGCTGTATTCTGACCTTTCATTTAAATCTACCAGGTGCTTTTTATTTATTTATTTTCTGTGGCCTACCTGACTCATAAGTTCACTATATAGGTTTACAATTACACATCTGCTGTCATGCACAACTCATCAGCTGCTTTTTTCTCAATTCACCGTTAGTCAGTTTCTGACCATAGGGCCACTATTGACCAAATATTATTTAAGTGGGTGGAGAGGCATTGAAAGTGCACTCACTGGTATGAGTGTGGTACTCATTCCTGTTTTTTATATATCTGTGTCATGCTGGCTTGAGAGTGGTCCACCACCCAAAAATATCCCTCTAAGAGCAGCTCTGTGATCAGAAATGACCATTGTGGAAGGGTTAGAAGTAATGACTGATAGACACTTTGCATTTACAGATGGTCTTTAATAGTCTTTATCCAGCAAGGTAGACCAACTTAGTAGGAGTTCTAATAATTGTAGCTAGTGAGAGTCAAACTGCATATATGATATGTTTATTCATTGTCACAAATGTAAGATCAAATATGAAAGAACACAAGAACCAAAGGCTTTCAAGGAACAGTGTACTTTAATGTATCTGATTTGGATTGCTCTTTAATATGTATTTTTTCTTTCAAAAAACAATGAAGCCATACAATATAAGGCAAATAACACATGGTTCTGTACAGCAATAGTAGCACATTCACACATTCTAGGCCAAGAGCTATTGTCAATTAATGTGCCCAACACTGTCTTACTGACTTACACACGGAAATGTGAAAGGTTTGTTAGGGTAGAAGGACTTTCTCAAGGAGACGATCTTCAGAAAAAAAAAAAGTCATTGCCAATTTTAATGATATAACAATATTCTTGCTGGCGAGTTATATAATAAATAAGAAGTGAGCTGATCTAAGTGTACAGGCCAAGTGAAATGTCTAATGAGGCAAGCAATACATACGACTGAGCAGAAGGATTTCTAATGTGCACATCACTACTCATACTGTTTTGAATGCTGAAGAAAGATGTTCAGAGATTTTTTTTCGCTTTTTATTCTCGCAGCTCTTGACAGTTAAGTGCTTTGAAACCTTATTGGAGTAGTTTTTAAGGCTAAAGGGGTAATGAGCAGCCCTATACAGTTTCACACCCAACCCAGTCTCTGCACTCCTCATCAAAGACAACGAGCTGTCCTTCGGCACACTGATCCACTACGGAGTGATCGATACTCAGACAAAGGCATACAAAAGTCAAATAAAGTCTTTGGCAAAAATAAAGTATTTACATATAACAAAGTAAGATTGTTTTTGCTTTCATACATCAAAGAAACACCTCTGCAGTAATGGCCATGACATAGATGTTTAGGGTTTTGAATGAAAGTGTGACATTATCGACAATATGCCCAATCAGACATATCACCATAATAGACAACATGCTCAATCCAATCAAACAGAGGAAATTTCTTCTCAAATTACAGTTAAAACACTGCAGTAATAGCCCGAATCATCAGGAGAGCTTCAGTGGACCTGATATGCAAGGAAATCGAGGAACATGCAACACCTGACTTTGACTCATGATGGCACTATTGGCATTCACTTCTTGGGGGAAACAGTATTTAGCCTATTCAAGTGTCCTACACAGTTGGAAATATGGGGTATTTCAACATGTTTTAAGCGTAAGTGGAGCAGGTCAACTTTCTACATGCTGAACAGTCCTTGCACTCCGTCTACAACCCGTTCAATGTGAAGCAACGTTAAGAGCTTGGGGTAATTCTCCCCTCTACCAAAGCAGTGTCAGCTCCTATCTTAAAGAAACAATACAAGTCAAGGCAGTGAAAAAAATTATATCCAAAAGAAAAGAAAACAACACAATAACAAGCTTTCAAATACATACACTTTACATCATATATAACTAGATGCTTCTCAAAACCTCTTGATTTTGAAATCTTAGCCAAAATAGTTATTTTTGATTTTTTTTTTTTCCCAAAGCTTTTGGAATCTTTATGTAGACTATACAATATATGCATAAGTATATGAGTTAACATAGAGCAATGTAGCAAAATAATAAATACTCAGTAAAGTCACTTTTTGATGTTTTTTTTGTTGTTATTTATATATATATATATATATATATATATATATATATATATATATATATATATATATATATATAGTTTAGCTTACTTTGGGGTATGTGTATGTGTGTGTGTGTGTGTGTGTGTTTTGAATAAGGCCTGCAGATACAGTTTGCACTGATAAACCCAAATCTCTGCACTACACTGACTGTTCTGACCTGAATTAAAGACAACATAGTAGTGAAAAATGGGCAGCCCTCATAGCAGGAAGCTGTAAAAAGCAAGGGGCACAGCCGATAAGAGGAGGACAGAGGTCAGAGGCTGGACAGCCCCATTAATGACCAGAAAGAGCAGTGAGAGAAGGAGGACACTGCTAGACAGAAGCATTCCCTTCCCTAGGCAGGTGCTAGGGAGGGCAGGACACTCAGCTTTCCAGATGGTTGCGACTGGACTACAGCATGGACAGGACAGGATCTGGAGGGTGTTTCACCACCAAAGCAGGATTTCTCAGTTAGCCAGATAACTTAAAGGCAGACCTGTCCAACAGGAGGACAAGTGTAGTGAAAAAGTGATGGCCTGAATTTACTTGATTTACTTGATCTACATAACTTCTAGATGAATTTTTGTCTTTAAGTGCAGCAACAATTGCTTTGATCTAATATATTTTATCAATGTGGAAAATATGTACTCATTTGAATCAAGTAAATTCAATGTACTCTTTTTTCTATTGTAAGGGACATTCCTACTGGACAATCCTACAGTTCCTATTGGACAATCCTACACTGAGAATATTTTGGAACATATACCCCGGGCCAATTTTCTTTATCCAGCTCTCAGCCTGGCCAGGGCCACTCTGGAGTCCACCACATACGCATGGAAGCTACATATTCAAGGACTGAATGGACAAGACCTCATAAACTTCTCAAAGAGACCAATAACAGAAAAAGGAGCATGAAGCGGAATCTGGCCCGCGTATGTTTTTGCTAGTGAACGGTTTGGTCTGTATATGTGAATTGTTACAGTGAAACAGGCCTCATGCCACCTAGCACTTGCCTGGACACACATGATAACATGCAAAATGTACTTAGCAAGAAAATATAGATGCCATTTCCAAAGAAAACAAAATACAGTATCAATATTTATGTATAGAGAAAATTTTAACATTCTCTGAAAAAACAGTCTTATTTTACAAACAAACAAAAAACCCTTCAAATAATTACAGATGTATCCTGACAGCTGTCTGATCTTTGGTATATCAATCCAAAAGCCTGATATCAGTCTCATCATCATCCCTCTTTTTGAACTTTTTCTTTTCCTTTTTATTTTATAAAAAAAAAAACAAAAAAACAACACACTCACTGACGCCAGTCCCTCATATCTGAAGTTAACCCTGCACAGAGATGAAGATCACCTCTCTCCTCTTCCTCACCACACCACTCCTCCTCTTCACTGCACTTCCTCTGTCCCCACCTGAACTCCACTCTCTAGACCATCTGAACACGCCTCCCAACACGCACACGCAAGCGTGCGAGTGCTCCAACACTAGGCCGAATATTAACACACACAAACGAAAGAATAAAGAATGCATCAGAACAGAAAAGAAGGGAAAGCAGTCCTCCAAGGGGGAAAAAAGCGCAGTTTCCTGGAGTAGCTCATCGCTTCTGGGAGCCAATCATCACTTTGGAGACGAAGTTGACGATGGCAGTGGCGGGTTGGTCAGGGTCCATCTCAGCGAACAGGTGACTGACATTATCTGTTGTACTTCCCTGTTTTCTAGCCACAAAACCAAAGAACCTGAAACAGAAGAAGAGAAGACAGCTTATAATTTGCTCTTTTCAACTTTGACCTGGATTTAAAGATAAAGTAGGAAAGCTTCCATTTACACAGCTTGTATTCAGCTGATGTGTTTGTCCACCGTGACTAGTAGGTGCTAATTGAGAATTTGAGACTGACAACTTAAAGGAATATCTAATCTCTATCTCTTGTATTTGGATTGCACAATCTTTTGCAATGGGCAAATAAATGGTACAATTATGTTCCCTACCAAAAGGTACTGAGGTGTATCCTTGAGGGTACCACCCCAGTGACAAGAAGGGTACTGCCCCAGTGACAGTTTCATACCTTTTTTTCTGAGTGTAATTAGCTTACTTATTGGTTGATACGCAATGATGTAATGCACTTTCACACTCACATAAATGTCCACAATTATGCAGAATCAAACAACGCTCATATTTGTCACTGTGAAGTATGAAAATATGAGCAAAAACACTTGTTTCATCATTCTAAAAATAGCAATTGACACATCAACATACCAATCTAGTTTGCATTTTAATGCACCTATTGGTCATGTAATAGTGCTCAGTGACTTCATCTTCACATAGAAGAGTGAAGAATTTGATGACCAAGAGAAAAACCACAGTTCCAATTTTCTGATGCCAAACGTACTTTGGAAAAACACCCTAATGCTGGTCATAGGACAGCAAAATACGAGATGAAATCTTGTAAGCTCTTGTAAGATCATGAAAACTCTTCTATATCTCCTAGAAAGTGTCAAACTGGTTTCCTCTTGGGCCACAGCTCTGCAGAGACTAATGTTTTCCCTCTTCTAACGCTCTGAATTCAATTCACAAAGGCCTTGCTAATTAGCTGATGAAATGAATCTGGTGTGTTCAATGAGGAGAAACACTAAAGGGTGTAATGATGTGGCCCAGAAAGAAGCCAGTTTGTCAAGTATGTCAAAATGAAAGTTTCTACATTAATTTGAGAGCAGTTATTTGAGACTTAGGGATTTTTCTCACTCATCTCATTCTAATCTTTAAAAAAATGACCAGAAATCATTGTCTTAGTGACCAATATAGACATTTTCAAAACTCTCTGACTTTTGTCACCAGTATCCAGTGATGGGCCCTATATGTCCTCTGTCTAGTCTTTAGTGAATCCTTAGATGATTGTAAAATGAGAAGCTCATGTTAGTCTCAGTAGATCAGAAAGATATCATAGTGAGTAACACATTTTTCGTATGAGTAAGCGCCTTACTCACAGTGGGATACAAGCGAACTTATTGGTTCACAGTCAAATCTGCTTATTACCATTTCAAATCTCTTTTGTACAGACAGTGGACGCTGGCAGCTGCATACATGGATGCAGTTAACTGAATTAGTTCTACCCGCAGTGCTCTGCTCTCAGTTAGCTCAACAGAAGAAAAGGTGATTAAGGGTGTAGGTATTCATATGGCTGGAAGCTACAGTACAGTCACAGCTGCTTTTTACACGATAGGAACAGTACTCCTGTGACCACTCAGTCTATATTAAATCTTAAAAAAAAAAGGGAGTGATGTGAAGCAACCTTCTGAAGAGAGTCCCAGTACAGGATATTTTAATGTTTCCCCTATGGTGACCCACCTGAAGCCATTCAGCTCATTATTAAGCCCTTAACAGGTGGTAGAGAGCCTCCCAGGGCTGGTTTGAAAAACAATATATTATGTAGTGCTTTACTTTTCTGAGGAGATTAGATATAAGATAATCCATAAGGGGAAAGTCATAGGAGTTTCCAAAACTTGGGCTGTGGGAAACAACCCAATATAACCAATTTCTTTGAAGGTGTAGAAGAGTATTCCTGCAGAGTTCTTTGAAAAACTAAAAGCAAGTCTCCAAAAAGAATGGAAGCTGTAATACAGCAAAGGTACTAAAAATGATATTATATTTAATGTTTAGGCTTTTGTGTATTTTTCTGTTTAATATATGTGATGCTTTTTCATGATACTGAAAAATAAAATAGCTTGTACTTAACAGGCATTTTGACTGGAAACGATGGACATTCTCTGACCCAGTACTGTCCATGGAGCTACAGTTAGCTTAAGCCTAAACACTTTAACAGCATAAGGATGAATTCTTCAATACACAGTCTGTAAATGTTGAAACTTGTTCTGTAACTTACACAGCTTCATAATACTTTATTGTACTTGATTTTTTCTTTTTAGCCCCTAAACCACAGAACATCTTACCCAAGCAGAACTGGCTTTGGCCTTAATATCATGTGCTTTCATCTTTTGCCGAATCTATTAATCTGTTCTTCCTGCCTCAGTTATCTGCCCAGTACATCAGTGCTGTGGTGCCTTTATGAGCAGCCTTTTACAGGCCCATCTCTTTAATACACAGCCCAGAGGAGCCATGAAAGCACTCACATGCTCCAGTGCTCTGAGAGTGTGATAGGCTTTAAGACAGAGAGTGTGTGTATATGTGTGTGGGTGGGTGTGAGAATGTGGTTGTGATGTGGACATGATCACAGTCAATTAAGTGGAGTGAGAGATGATAAAATCAAAACTTATGGTCAAGTGAGAGGGATCTAGTCCAGACACAAGACTCTTTAGACTTTAGTGAGTTTAGTGAGAGAAATTTATGATCTGAGAAGCATTTACATCTCGTAAATACCCATAATTGCTCAGTACTGATAATAAAGGATTACTGCTGTAAGCTTTATAAACAGTCAAAGGTACTTACTTTGCAGTGCCACCTTCTGGTTTATTCCACCTGTAAAGACATTAACCATAAAACAAGTCGAGTCACAACACAATCACTTTAAAACATCTTTAACAGCTATGGCGGCGGGTGTGATATACAATACTGTGCAAAAGTCAGAGACGGCCTTTTTATCCTCTGTTTATTTCATTTGCAGAAAATATTCTTAACACAGAACTAGACAGAAGGCTGAACAACTAAATCTAACATCACATGCACATTCGGTATTTAGTGTGTTCACCTTTGTCTTTATTATAACCTCTACTTTCAGTTTTTTAATGAAAAGCAACTCCAACCTTTATTCTTCTTCTGCTTCTCATGATGTAAAGTAATTGAAATTTAGACTTGTCAGTCCATAACACGTTACTCTACATCTCAGATATCCAGTTTTGGTGTTCTTGTGCACCTATTGTTCTATTGTATTTTTTGATACATTTTTGATTTTTCTGTCTATTCCCAAGATTTATTTTCAGACCTGAAGCTTGAATTTCTCCTCTTTCTCAATGATGAAAGCTTTAACTGCTGTTTATCTGATGGTGACAGTTTTGGTGGTTTACCAGGTCTTTCATGGTCATTAGTAGTCTGATTTACAAACACATGCACACACTAAACCACTTATCCTTCTGGGTCTCGGGGCACCTAGGGGCAATTCAGCATGTCCAATTGGCCTCACTGCATGTCTTTGGACTGTGGGAGGAAACCCATGCAGACACGGGGAGAACATGCAAACTCCACAAAGAAAGGACCCTGGTCATCCGGCCAGGGGGATCGAACCTAGGTTTTTCTTGCTGTGAGGCGACAGTGCTACCCACACTTAAAAATGAACTAATTGTACTTATTGGCTGCTTTGACTGAAGAAAAGGTCTCTAGCTTTTGCACAGTAACAAAGCTTAATGTGTTGTGGCAAATAAAGGAGCGTAACATTACAGTATTAGTTCAAACTGAAACGTGATGTGGTGTAGTGCATGTACATTTCAGTAAAAGATGCGAGGAATACATACTTTCTCTCCTGCGGGTCAATATCACAGAACGTGACAGTGTTGATAGGGTAGTGACGTCGGAAGAAAAGCCTGTTGAATACAGGACACTATGTTAGAGAAGAGTGAAATAAATCTGCTTGACAAAATAGAGATCATATTAACCAAGTGTGTCAGTTTGGCATGAATCCTTTTACACATATCACAGAGATGAACTCACTTCCTCTGGTTGTCTGTTAAGGTGATGCCCTGTGATGACACCTTAAAGTGAACAATAGTGGCAGTGGGTGTAGGACTGGCTGCCATGGTTTCTGAGATCGCCTTGGCAATGGCCTGTGGGCCGGTCAGAGACTCCATATCCACTGAGTTTATGTACAGCACGTTACATGCTGGAAATTCAAACACAAATAATGGGTTCAAAATTGTTAGAGGTTAATAACACAACATACAAATACGTCACACTCTGTTCATTTAATCAATATTTACTATTTTTAAGCTATACAGACAGTGATGTGTATTTAAAACTGCAATTCAATGTTAATTCTGTATTTCACAAGTAACTGTGTACTAAACTAGGAGATCTGTACATTTTGAACTAGAATTTTAACTGCACCTTCAATTACGCATACAACACAGGATTGTTAGTATCCTAGTATCCATTAGATTTCATATTTCTCTCTTAACTTATGTATTCTTGAACATTTCATGCAATGCAATTCAACATCACTCATCTCAAAACATGCTCTCTTGCATGAATTTGAAGATTTTTCAAACAGCGCTCATAAAAACAGCCCGGCGAACTGACGGTACATTAAACAGCAGCCATGTTGAGTTTTAGTTGATAGAAACAGATAGATACAGATACGGTCTTCGTGTTCTGTTACACTCCCTCATGCACAGTCTAGAGACACAGGAGAGTCTGTCTGTCTAGGATGCATCAGTCAAAGTCGATTATTAATGGGACAAAACAGAAAAGCACACAAAATAAAGTAACACTGGGTTTACCATGAGAATCAACAGGGCTCTTCTGGCCTAGAGTCACACAGCAGTGACCGCACAATGAAGAAAAACATGGGATTGCTTCAGAAGTGATATCAGAACACAAGTAGCCAGCAGAAATTTAGAAATCCAACCAAGAGAGCTGGATTTTGGGTCAGTAATCAGATTTTTCAGTACATGTATATCTTTACTCGGATTTCCTTTAGATTTCTTAGTCTGAGCATGTAAGTCTGCATGGCAACAAAACAGCGATGCTGAAACCAACTACATGCTTGACAAAATGAAGGATTTAAATATTCTAATGTTTATCTAATAAACATCTTCTAGATGATGTACGCTCATATTTTCAGTAAAGTGGCACAATGTTTAGAAAAAAGTCACAACATTAAGTTTGAGTTTTTGAGTCACGTCTTCTGTGAGTTTTGGCTGGTTACAAGGCAGAAATCCGATTATTGTCTGACTCATGTAGACATGGAGTTTTCCCATTATCTGTAAACATGGCGATCAGATTACTGACAAAATCTGATTTTTGAATTATTAAATGCATGTAAATGGACAAATTGTCAGAAAAAAAGGTATTGCACAGGTACATTTTTCATTCATCAAGGTAATAGGTAAAGTAAAGGTACCCTCAAAGGTACAACAGTGACAAGCTTTTTATTAGTTTGGGGTCAATACAACTTAAAAAATATAACTTCAATGGAATATGGTACAATGATGTTCCCTAACTAAAGGTACTGAAGACGTGTCTCTAAGGGTACCACCCCTGTGACAAGAGGGGTACCACAACAGTGACAGTTTAGTACTGGTTTTCTGAGAGTGTGGGATCTCGCAATAACGACAGACTTGGAGAGAAAGTGAAACAAGCACTTAGGAAAAGTGCATCTATTAAAAGAGTGACAACACAAACGATCAGTGTCTGTTTACCTGCACCCTGTTTGAGCAGTTCTGTGGCTGGGTTGACTGGCGTGGCAACCTCTGGGATCTCTTCATGGGGATCTGCAAAAACACATCAGGCACATGTTAAAACATCATGTGACAAACAAGATTAAAGCAACACTATGGAGGAACTGCAAAACAACCTCGACTGTGTCCACTACTAAGGAGATCTCTCTACTGGGCAGCGTGTCCTGTCTTTCTCTCTGGAAGAACACAGTCATTCACGGGCCTGTTCTGTTACACTCACTGCTATTTGACTTCCCATTCTCAACGATAGAGCTGTCAAATATCAACAGATCAGCGTCATAGCGTTATATTTTTGTGATTTTTTTTTTTTAACCCTTAGAAGTCTAGAATTATTCTTCTCATTAATCAATCAATTCACATGTTTTTGTGATTATTTTGTAACCTGGAGTTCTAGATATTGTCATTATGCTCAATGTGCATTATTAATTAAATAGTAAGTTAAATAATGGTCAACATTTACATTTAAATTCTATCACAAATTATTGCCAGTAATAACTAAATTCTATAACAAATTAATGCTGGTGATAACTGCAACTTCTACAATGGCTCATTTTGAGTGAGGTCACATTGCTTGTAACTAAAAATGTGAAAAACTTAAATCACTGTGAATGACAAGCTAGAAAAGGGAGAGCGAAGTTGAGAGTTGTCCAACACTAACTATGAGCTCACACTGCCCTGAAGGGAATTCTCACCCCGCTGGGGCTCTACATGCCTTTCTCACACCTTGCCACTTACTGTTTGAGAGAGCACGGACGAGCTACCCAGTCCCATGCTCCTCTCAAACATGCATGACACCTAACAGCTGGCTGAGGAAGACTACCAGCTGCCCTGGCTCTTTGGTCACTTCAGGAACTATTCACACCAGCAAAGAAACCATACATCACTATGACAGAGTGACTAAAGAGGGGTCATGTTTAAAAGGCCTCACGTACATACAAATATTTCTCTACACATATTTCTTACCTTTTGTGGGTATGACCAGTTTGCAAGGCAGAGCCAGTGGAGTAATGGAGTGCTGGTACACTAATGCAGAAAGGCAACCTGGTAGAGAGAGAGAGAGAGAGAGAGAGAGAGAGAGAGAGAGAAGTGGGGGCAGCAAATTGGAATTAGATTTATGAGAGTAGAAATCAGAGAAGGACATGCTTTACATGACAAACTTCCCTATGAGGTCATGCATTGAATCACTGCCATGCAATACTTCATTTGAACAGTGTCAATCCAACCTTGTTAGAAACAGAGAGAATATGATGATAGCTCTAGTCTGCATGTCCTTCTCAGCAAAAGGTCAGGATGACAGTATTGGCAAATTGGTGAATGTTCACAATGTTAAGCTTTTACTGGCAATTTCCCATCACATTTGGCTTAATTCCTGGATAAGGCAGCTCGAGGGGGGCTACAACATATCTTTTGCTCCTGTTTACTCAGCAGAGCAAGCTACACTGGTGGCATGGATGGGCAATAAATTGGGAAGCATTATGTTATTATTGAACCTTCAGTGTATATGTTATTGACAATTTCCAAAACATTTGCAGTTATATAAAGGTATAAACAGCAACACAACAACTTTTACATTATCATTTGATTTATAACACTCTTTTAGAAATGCTTAGATGAAAAATTTACACCATTTACCACTTACCCCAGAGGTAGCTGATCAGCCAAGACATGTTTGGGGTCCAAATTTTGCTTCTTTAGGACTGGAGCTAGGAAGCTAACATTGCTAACAAATAATATGTCGAGAGTTACCCAAATCTTTTCAAGAACTCTGCACAACAAAGACATGTGGTTTGAGTGGATTCAGAGACATTTTAGGGATGTTCTGTATGGAAAAGATCTGGGCGACTATTAACTTCTTGTGTTTCTTAGCTGTAGCTCCAGTGCTAAACTAATGACACAAAATTTGGAAGCCAAACGTCTTGACTGATTTGATTTTTCTTTTCTAACAATTCCTTTACAAATAATGGTGCCAAAAAGGGTTCTTAGGAGTGATGTAGTAGAAGAACCACCTGCTGTTCCCTAAAGAACCTTACAAAGGATAGTTCTTTAAAGGAATATTCTGGCACCTTATATCTATCTGCTTCCTCTGCATATTACCACAGAAAACCCTGTGACTCAAAACACACCGGTTCAGGGAAAACTATCCAAATGGAGAAAAGATGAGTTTGAAAGTCTTTATAGAACAAGTGGTGGTTTTTCTATGACATTGCTCCGAAATATATATTTTGGCACTGTTATTTTTAATCTGCCTTTTAGTCTAAAAAAACAAACTAAACCAAATAACAAAATTAAACTAAAAAAAAAAACACAAACATTATTGGTAGTACAGGTAACTGAAGAAGCTTGTCGGGTTTTCTCTCTGTATACTTGAAACGGGGCCCATCTTTCCCTGTGTGAGACTTGGCAGAGTCTCACCCCAAAGTGTGCACTACTGAGCAAGGAAGGGCAAGAGAAGTGAAGACAGCTCCATATCGAATGCCTCAGTGGCCAGCTCTGCCAGTCTTCACCCACACCTGCTCTCATTCTCACATTCCTCTCTTTATCATAATAAACATACACTTATGCAATGGTCAACATAAGAGGATGTTTCAACATAAGAGAATGCTTACATAAGCTGTCACATGTTGTTTTTGATATACAGCAGGGAAGGCAGAAGGAGAAAGTACTTCTTCAGTGAGCTGCTAAGTCCAGCTTGTAATGCTTAAATTAGATAAATAAATGTAAACTAAGTTAGAGAGAGGGCCTCTGAGATGCACTAAGTGATTAACTGATTCCTGAGTTCTGTAATTAAACTTCTTTCTGGGGCACTGCAACTGTGACCACCAGATTCAAGAGATGTTTTCTTAAATATTACAACAGAAAAATGACTGAATAAAACTGTGGAGAAGGGGGCGTGGCCAAGCGCTGAATGTGGGATGGAGAAGCCAGTCTGGCTGAACCAGCGGGCTAAGTAGCTGATTATGTTCACCTGTGCCTTGTTTCTGCCAGCCTGCTTATAGCCATCTCTTCCTTCAGTAGGTGGCAGAGCCCAGAGAGAGAAGGAGACCTATGAAGGTGTGAGAGCTGAGCTGAGCTGAGCTGAACCAGAAAGAAAGAAAGAAAGAAAGAAAGGACTGAAAAGTCCCTGCGAGCGTCTTGTCTTACTTTGTGGGCTGAAAAGCCGAGTGTTTTGCATTGTGTATAAATAATAATAAAAGAAAGCTCTCCGTCTTCACACCTGCCCCCGGCGTCTTTCCTCCACCCATCGTTAGAGTTGCCACAAAAACATTCTGAGATGCATTCTTGGATTTCACTGTAATTTCAGTGGTGATATGTGGTGATATGGGTACTCGGACTTGAGCTGCACTTAAGTCGCATGTTGACTGATGACTCGACTAGGACTCTAGACTGAAGACTCAGTCTAAATGAAATGAAATTTTAGGGTGAGTAAAAATAAACTAAATAAATCTTAATATGGAAAATGAACAAAATGCTCAATTCCCAACCTTACTCAATTCAGACTCACACTCCAGAGACTCGAGACTCAACTAGGCTTAGCATCCCAGGGACTCGAGACTCAGACTCTCTCCCCAGAGACTCAAAACTCAACTCGGACTCACACTTCAGAGACTCGAGACTCCACTTTGGCTCACATCCCAGAGACCTGAAACTGAACTCAGATTCACTCCTCAGAGACTCGAGACTTGACTTTGGCTAACATCCCAAAGACTCGAGACTCGACTCGGACCCGCACTCCAGAGACTCGAGACTCAACTCAGACTCACACTCCAGAGACTCGAGACTCAACTCAGACTCGCAGCCCAAAGACTCGAGACTCGGCTTGGACTCGCACACCAGAGACTTGAGACTCAAATTGCACAAAGCGCCTTGTGAACATGTCTGATGATTTAGCTACACAAGCACACAAACAATACATTTTCACTACAATTCAAGACTACAGTACGTGAGGCATTGCACATTCTGTGTGGATGAAGAGGAGATGTGTGGAGAAACTGACCGAAGTAGGGCTCATTGGGACAGCCCTTCAGCTTGACCCCCTTCGGACTTGTCTCAATCAGGAAGTGGCGAACCAGCTCGTTGGTGATGTCACCTGCAACATTCCATAAATTAAAATGGGAAAATATAAACTGAGTTTGCGAATTTATAATATCAAGGATCTGAAAACATCAGAAAACAACAAACAAACAAGTAAAACAAAAGGTCTTGTGATCTTGTGTTAGCTATAATATCTTTGTTGTAGTGTTGGATTAAGAACATACATTACTGTAATAGAATCTCTCTAAATAACAGCTGCTTTTGCTGCTAAAGAAAGATGTGCTAGCCTGGGTCAATTCTACCACAATAACCTTAAGGCAGTGTGGTTAATTCTCTCTGAACATCAGGCACACACAAAGCTAAGTGCAGCTGTGCTGAAAGCTGTCCTCGTCCACACTCCTTAACAACACAGATTCATCAAGGACTTTGTTGAACACTTGTATTACATATAAGTATATGTGGATAGAAGCTGTTGATCAGATGCTGAGAGATGGATTATGGGTTAGGGCAGAATCAGACAGGCCTGTCTGGAATCGGTTTCGACAGGAGGGACAGGCTGTGGGTTAGTGGAGAAGCTTCCAGTGAGCTCCTGGCAGCAATGTGTTGAGATGTCCATTACGATTATGTGAAAAGGGCTTCTCTGGAGTGTGCTGATAGAGAATAAGCATCTGTAAGTGGAGGACATGGCCTAAGGGTGCACTGTCAAATACCTTTCTTGGTATTCTGCTGCACTGTGGGCGGCGGGGAGGCCACCTTCATAGCCAGGCCATAGGCGCCCCTGAATGAGTGACTGTCCCGAATGATGAAGGCTCCTGGCTCTCTCTCCTTCAGAATGTTGATAGCTAGCAAGACGAGCAAGAACAACAGAAGAGTTTACTCATTATAAGGGTCAACACTTGTTAATAAACTGTTAATGGATAAGCAGTATTTAACCTTATCAGACTGAATGCCCCCTGGTGGATACTAGAAAGATATGCAGCTAACTTGTGAATCCCAGTTTGTAAACATGGACCATGTCCTTTCATCATTAAACTACAACTTAAATGTGTAGAAAAATCATATTTTTTTTTTCTGCTACCTGGAGCATGCTTGTGGTTTCTTGTGTATTGAAGCCTTTTACTGCCAGATGGGCGAGAAAAATGTTTCTGTTTCTAGCAGCAGTATGTAAAAATTGTCACTTTATAATTTCTTACTTCGTATCTCAAAATAGTGACTTACTATGTCAAAATACTGAGTTACTATGTAATTCTTGTCATTTTAAGTTTTATTATATGTTATTTTGAGACAATAAGTCAAAATTTTGAGAACATATGTAATTATTTAAAGTGACCAGGTAAAATTTTAGAGAAAATAAGTGATCATTTTAAGATACTAAGTCAAAATCGTAACTTACTGCTGCCAGAAACAGAAAAAGAGAAAAAAGAGCCAGTTTTGTTTCTACCTGATGGGAATGGGCTTCCATATTTGTGCCTAATGGGGACTGTTATTAAAATTATCTCCTATTTTATCTCCTATCATGTAGTACACATGGCTGAATCTGGTCATGTACAGTGCCAACGTAACCTGACGTTCTTATCAGAAATGACAATATTATGATTCAAGCAAAAAAGCCATTCTGTTTTGAGTTCAACCAGGCATGACCACCCCTGTTCCTGGACATTTACTGTGCTTTCATTTCAAGCCTTATTCTATCACATCTGATCCAGAATCTGAATATTACAGCCATATGTGTTGAATTATACATTGCATGAGGCAGGTCTCCACTGTGTGCCACTGTGTTTAAACATGATGCAGATTGAGAGAACACAGTCCATAGCAATGCAGGGTTCTGTGGGCTCTTTATAGCGTGTATTTGAGTTAAGAAACACAGCAGATGCAGATGTTCGCTAAGCTTAACTAAATGCATATGGTACAGTCCATGTGCTTGTGTTTAGTGCTATCTTCAGTGCAGATTGTCTAATCCAATAAGAGTGCGTCTCACAGGAGAACCAGATGTGGAGGGCAACAGCCACTGACCTCATAATGAATACACAAAACAGGGCCAGTCAGGACACAGTAGGGTTGTTTACAGGAGTTATATGCCTCATCTCTCAAACTAAATGTAGATAAATCAGACCCACCCCCCTCTTCAATGCATATAGGCACACACATGCTAAGACCTTACCTTGCTCTCTGGAGATGTCTGGTTTATACCAGAACTTGGAAGTGTCTTGGACAAACTTTACATTCATTCTGGTCTCTGGGCTTCCATCTAGAAAGAGGACATAAGGTCAGACCAGGCACCCTTGGGGAATGATATCAGATTAGACTATTCCCATTTGCAGCAATAGGTTAAAAGTAAACATGTAAACAAACACAAATACACAGACACACAAACTTGGGATATTGTGATACAATCACACTCTCAGCCTAAAGTTAGTTCTATAGCCTCATCCGCATGCTTGAATTATTGACTTTAACAGCCTCATATTAACCACAAGCTCACTGCTCTCCAAATAAGGCAGACATTATTTCCAGTATTCTGGAAGCAGTTCCAGATTTAACCACAGAATTGCTATCAGACAGCCAGAGGTCACATTCTATCATAATGACAAAAATACAGCACAGTGTTTATTATATGGTAGCGCCTAGAACAGTCGACTCAGCTGGATATACAACTGACAGAACTAACACTTCCACTGGGGCCTCCTACAGCTCAACACTCAAGCAGTTACTCATGCAGAGAAATGTAATTCTCTGTAAATTTTCACATTAAAGGTGTTTAAGTTACATAGATAATACCAATAAATAAATAATGAATAGTAACCAAGGGGGTTCACTTTTGCAGGTTGGTGACAATTTTCTGACAGTTTTTGGTGTTTTGAAAGCCTTAGCCTTAGGGGTGAACATCTCTAACTTCACTACAATTTCATTACCATTCTTTATGAAATAATTTAATGCATAATAATTTGAAATTCCACCATGATTCAATTCATTATTATTATTATTATTATTATTATTTTGGTATGTTTGGACTTATTTTTGAAAGGAGGCAGTATTAACAAAGTAGATTAATTGCAAAATCAATGCAAAACAGCCACCTCCAAATTGGGGTGAGTGATATGGCAAAAATAAAACATCATGATACACATTATGCATCATAATATGTCTTTTTGACATTTAATAAGGTGGAACAGACAGAACCAGTAAGAAGAACCAGTAATGACACATTTAAAAAATACTATCAAACTATCAAAAACTGTGAATATAATGAATTTTATTCACGTGCTGTCCTGCACTGCGGAGTTAAGCAGGCTTAACAGGTCTAAACAAGCCCATGAGTTACTCTAAGATAATGAAACATGCATTTGGTCACTCTTCTTGAAGTACTGGCAATATCCATGATATATTTAGAAAAGCATACTGCGATGTAATTTATCACAATCATGATAAACATTGTCATACTGTCCACCTCTATTTCTGACACTTTAATACACCCCTACTTACCATACATGTTAAGTTTGGAGAAATCAGGAAGTGTATGGAAGAAATGGACACTCGGAGTACTCCCTCCGCTGGACATGGGTGAGGACACTTTCCCATTGAGAGTGCCGTAAGACAGGCTGCCGTTGGGCCGCTCCCCACTGGACATACGCCTTTTCTCGGGCAGCTGCGGCTGCAGGCCTGGACTGCCCTGTCTGAAGCCCAGGCTGTCAGGATATCCGGCAGGCGACACAGGGAAGGATGGTGTGGAGGGAGGGTGATACCCTGAGCTGCTGCTTTGGCGGGACAGTGCCCCGTGCCGCTCATCTGGGGTGGTGTAGCCACTGTACATGGGGTGCCGGTCTAGGCTGGGGCTGCCATGACTCACCTGGGACATAGAGGGATGACGGCCCAGGACAGGGCTGCCCTGGCCGGGGTGAGTGAGAGAGGTCTGTCTGCTCAGGACGGGGCTGCTCTGTGCGGGCTGGGATGAAGACGGTTGTCTGCTCAGCACAGGGCTGCTTTGGTTGGGCTGGACAATGGACTGGACGAGGGACGGCTGATACCCCATTGGTGGGCTGTTTTGGTGGGCTTGCCTGCCTAAAGTGGGGCTGCTCTGCGTCCCCTGGCTAATGGGCATCTGTCTGCTCAGCATCGGGCTGCTTTGCGTTGCCTGGGAAACCATACCATGTCTACCCATTAGGGGACTGCTGGACACTCCAGGCTGATAGCCGTTGGGCGGTGATGGTTGTCGGTCCAGGCTATTGGGCAGAGATGGCTGCCGGTCCAGGATTGGACTGTCCTGATTGGCTAGTCTGTTCTGGAGGATGGGGCTGGATAAGGTGTTGGTGGATAAGGTTTGGTGCTGTGTGCCGGGACTGCTCAGGGCAGGTTTGGCACCTATGGCATTAACTTGAACAGGCTCTGGAGAGGAGGGGCTGAGATCAGGACTGATATAGCTGCCTGTCAGGCTGCCAGGGGCGGTGTAGTAAGAGGGCATTGTGGTGTGGGATGTGGTCTGTGAGGGTGGAGGACGGAACCCAGAGTCCACTGCTCCATAGGATGGGGTGCTCAGGCCCACTCCACTATCAGCCACTGGATGCTCTCTGGAAAAGGAACAAATTCTCAATTAGTAACAACCACAGCAGGACTCACTGACATCTTAATCTTTCTAAAGGGAAATGTAGGCTGGTGGGCAGGGCTTATTATTAATACTAGCCTAAACAGAAAAGGCTATAGATTACTGCAAAAACAACTGCCACAAGTGTAGTCAATGAAAGACATGCCTGTACAGTTATGACTGTCATTAACGTAATGTTATTGCTTTGCGCTATTGTAAATGGTAAATACATTCAAAAGTTTCAGCTGAGCAAGTTTTTTTCCTGTTCCGTGCACATGGATGCTTGATATGTCCTAAAAATACATTAAGGATTTTGCCTAAAAATGCCCATGCCCAAAATGTTTTAATCCTCTAACATGCCTGATTAAACATTCAGCCCTTTGTGAACTAAGTACTGGGGCTGAAAAAACAGTTCTAAACAGTTCTGGAGAGCACAGTCATCAAAGCCATCAGCGCTCACAGTTCTGGGCTTTGCACAGGGCTGCTGGAAGACAGTGGGGTGTTGAAGGAGTGAGAGGGGGCGGCTCCTCTGGCCAAGCTGCTGCTGTCAAACACAGGAGACACGGGTGAGGATGGCTGCCCTCCAGCCACTGCTGCTGACCGGGCAACAGACTCTACGTAGCTCCGAGGCTCTGCAAACACACACGCAGGTTTCATCACTTGCTGGAGACGTGACAGCATACTGTGCTCCAACATTCCACAGCTGAAACATGGCTGATGATACTGAAGGGTGACACAGACACTACACAGTTCTGATTAGTCTTGGAAACTCTGAGCTGATATTCATCTGTTATCTTTTCATATTCCATCACAGAGAAAAGAGAAAAAAAATATATATACACCTGAAAGTACGGATGCACCGACATTTGGCCCCAAAAACATTTTGGCTGAAAGTGATCAAAAGTGGAACTGCTGGTTTTGGGCCAAAAGAAAACAAAGGCAGAATATTTTGGCCTAAAGCCCCCCTGCCCCCAAAACTTAAATAGGTCTACAATGAAGTGTCACAAATCATTTGAATGATAATGAAAACAAGAAACAGTGATCAATAATGCTGTTCATTTCCTTCGCTCTCCTGCATTGGTCAGCACTGATGCGTTCAAAGGGAGTGTCAGCAGATTAATAGAAAAAACAGTCGGCCATATGGATCTATTTCACAGTATCTTTAAGGGAAATTAGACAAATGATTTGTATTCACTGGTCAGGAAAGATCCTGTGAGCATACCAATTCTGTTTCTAGACTCAGATTTAAAAAAGGCTGTAAAAAGTCACAAAAGGCAGTGTCAAAGTACAAAAGTGAACTAAAAAAATAACGGAATTCAATGCCTTAAATGACCAGCCGTTCTCTGTTGTTGATGACGTTGGATTTGGTGGCACATTCTGTACATACAGTAATAATTTTAGTAAGTTTATTTTATGTTTGTAGTCAGTTTTGCCTCACTGGAAGCAGTTTTTTTATAATAACTGTGTTTTTTCTTTAGTGCTTTGTAGCTGTTTAGTATGTTATTTAAAAGCATAAAAAGATGGTTTCCATTTTTATCCACATGTGTCTTGAATTTCGGTTTCAGCCAGGAAATTTCATTTTGGTGCGAATCTACTTAAAAGCTATGATTTGAAGCCTTGCTTAATATATATCATAATAATGATTACAGTAACATGACACATAAAACACTTCTGAAAGATGTGTGGTTGAGAAACACATTGGCTACGGATCCTGGCCACTCTCAATCAGTACAGTTAAGATCTCTCTATGTGGTGTAAACAGCTGAGGGCTTTTCCTCTGCTGGCCCCTGGCTAACCTGTCTATTAAAGCTGAAGGAATCTGTTCAAGATGAGAGACATCTGCTTTACTGTACCCTGAGTGGGGAATCGTGTTCACAGAGAGCATCCACAGGCCAATCTGTTGGCTCTCATAGTGACACAAAGGTCCCTGTTAAAGAGCTGTGTTGTTATTACAAGAAAAAAAGGGCCCTGATCTCTGACACACTGATAGTCAAGAATCCATGTTCATTCTAACTCCTCCACTATGAAGGACACAAACAAAGTGAACAATGTGCACTCTATGTGGAATGTGTGGAATCTAGTCTGATGATTCATTGGGACAATGGAGTGATCCAGGCTTGAAGATGGATTGAGTGCAAAAGTGAAATCATTGGTGAAACTAAAGCACACAGGGATGGACTGGACAGTGGAGTGACAAGACTGTTCTTCATCATGAAACCCTTACCTTCCTCTTCCTCACTCTCTGTACCAACAGAGGGGGAAAGCCAGGAGAAAATCAGACAGAAACAGAAAGAGAGGGGTTTGGACAAAGGCAGAAAGCAGGCATTGATGAAACGAGCAGGACAGATAGTGAGCATATTAAAGAGAGGAAGAGATATCGCAAGACTGCAAGGGACATTTTATACATATTAGACAAGTGGTGCATAATAACAAATAACACATGCAATGCTAACTGCAGAAAAAGAGAATAGAGAGGAGAAAAGAAAAAGGGGCAAGTATTAAAAGGTCTTACAGGCATTAGCTTTAACTTGCTTAGGAACAGTGCTAAAACTAGTGCAGCGTTAAAGACAGAAGCTACAGCTTCTTCAGCCAGCCAGACAAATCAAACAGTTCTTTCACTCTCTCTGCTCCTGCTCCTCTTACACTCCTGGTTACAAACACACCAGCTCCTCAAGACATCTTCAAAAAGAACTCTACATTCTAAAGGCTCATTTATCAGTTCTTATTTTAGGGATCTTCTCATATTCTGATGTGGCTGTTGTTGGCTATCTAAATATCAAGCTCAAAAAGTTTGAAGCCAAGCCTTTGAAGACTGTTTTTACACATTTTCCCATGAAGGAGAGCAATAAAGCTCCTCCGCCTTCTCTCTCTCTACTTTTTACCCTCTCACATGTTCATTCACAGTGTTGCATACACACACTCAGGGTGAGATCCAGCCAATGTAACCACATATGAAACACAAAGGCTGTTTCATTTACAGGGAATTATGAGCTCATTGTTTAAGACAGAGAAAGTGAGCAGGCGAGAGAGTCGTAAAAGAGAAATGAAAGGTCAATTTTATAGGCTACCCTGGACTTCACTTTTTTTTATTGACACGTTATAGTGTCGGCTGCCCAGAGGGGCCGGTGCTGTGCTAAGAGGCTTTCTGTTAAGTCGCATGTGTGTGTGTGTATGGACACATCAGCTCACCTGAGCCTGTCTGGTTCAGAAGGATCTCCGCTGGGTTGTGTGGCTTCAGGCCCAGGAAGGACAGGGGTGTTTTAGCCAAACCTGGAGGAGAGCGGCCTGAGAGAGAGAGAAAACACAAAGAGTTTACCATACAGCATAATGACTGTACAGGTCATTTGTCTTAACAGCATAGATCTGCACATACTCACTAAAAGACCACAGTATGTGGAGGAGAAGTCCAAAGACCACTCGTTGTTCAATGTACTTAACCCCTAAAACCCTGGACTCACACTAGTTCTTACTCTTTTAGCTACATAACTTTGCGTAACTTTACATAACAACATTTCATTGTTTGTTCCAAATTATTGTTGTGAAATAATAAGTCTCATGATTAATGTAAAGGTGTCAGCCCATACGATTTGCCTATATATATAAAACATGGATTCTCGTCTAATACAGGTTGCCCATAAACTTATAAACGTTGGCCAATTAACATCAAGAATTCAGCCATGCTCAGATTTGTTTTTCACTTTCTGTTTTATTGCGGTTGCTAGGCTGAAAAACAATCTGGGTTGGGTTTCATAAAAGCCTCTTAGCCAAAGATTAGATGTTTTGCATCTGGGTTGTAACCTAAGATAAATTTTCCCCTCAGTCTCACTTTGCAGATGAAGCTACATCATCAGAGACTTTTTGTTCTGTCAGCTCATCCCATAACACAATCTAACTCAGCTCTCTCTCACAGTTTCTCTCTGACTGCCTTTGAATGTATATTTAACTGCATGTGAGACAGTGTTTAGCCATTTAACTGTCAAATAACAAAAAAATTGTCTGATTCTGTACAAAGCAATCACCACATGCATATATTACAGGAAATAAATTCAGAACTGGATTAATTGCTAAGGAATTTAATGGCAGAAATGTACTATACATATACTATATGAGTATCAGTGATTTTTTACAGTTTTGAGACAAAATATAACATATATAATATATAATATATATAATATATAATAAAGATTTACTGTCTCTAAAGGTTGACACATATGTTAATAACTCAATATTTAGCCTAAGGTTTAAGGGGTTAACAGCAGCAAAACTACTTTCTTAAAAAATACAGATACACAGATCCAATGCTGTTAAGATGACTATAGAGAGCAGGGGTGCCCAATCCTAATCCTGGAGATCTAACTCCCTTTAGGGTTCAGGTCCCACAAACCTGGCTCCAATATTCAGATGCCTCTGAAGGCCTTCATTAACTGGATCAGGTGCGTTAGACTGGGAGTCTGCAGAGTGGTGGATCACCAGGACCAGAACTGGGCACCCTTGACCTAGAGTTTTTATAGTGACCCATCTGGATTTGTGCAAATGCCTCATGCTCGCTGGCTAGGCCATGCAAGTGCCCAGTTCTAAGTGTGAACACGCTAGGTTCAACACTCACTGTGAGCTTGCTCACTGACAGAACGATAAGACAGCATGTCATGTCATGCAGACGACCACGCCTTAACAAAACACGTTACACAACACAACATAGAAACGCACAAACAATTACATCTGTGCCATTATTCACTTTCTTACAAAACACAAGTGGCTCAGCAACAGTAGCGGTGAATAGTGGTGCCAGCAAAAAAAAAGATGGAATAAAGAATGGAAAAAAGTAGAAAAGTACTGAAGTCTAGATGATGAGTAGAACAGAGAGCAGCACTCATGTAGATTGAAACATCACTCTGGGCTGGATTAAAATCCTGCCTACTTCAGTGATGGGCTAGTGTTTGTGTAGTGGATGTCAGCAATGGGGCAGTATAGAAATTTCCTATTATGATATCAGTGACCACAATGATCCTGGTTTTCAGTAAGGCTGTTTCGACGATTCACAACGCTCATGATGATCAGTTCAATACGATACAGTGGTGTCTTAGTCTGAAACATTTTTCAATGCAACAAATGATATTAAGTGCCTAAAAATCTGCCTTATGTTAATTTGTTAATGTTTCCATTTTCAGTTTATTAGAAGATCCAACACTATAAAAGTGCAATATTTTACAATAATACCCTAGCCACAAGCTAATATATGCTTACAAAGAGGATGCTTTTCCGCCCGGCTCTTGACTTTAAAGTAAAAAAGAAACAATACTTTCAGAGCAGGGAGGGTCTGACTTTAATGTGGGTATGCTTGTTTAATTTTTTGTTACAGATGCAATATAATTGCTATTAAACTGAGTACTTTATTTACTCTAGACTGTTGAATGTATGGTTTGATACCTATGTGTATGGAATTGAGAGATTCATATTGAACAACTTTCATATTTTTTACAATGACAAAAAAAATCAACTACAAAATAACAAAAATCTATGCCCAGTTCCAACATATCATAGCTGTCCAAAAAAATTGTATTAATTTTTTAATTTTTCTTTTTTCATTATTTAAATATAGCACCTATCGTTTACACTTTGTTAAAATGTCATGATGAACGACTAATATAAATGCTATTAATGTGTAATAAAAGTTAAGAATGCTTTTGCTTTATCCTGTAAAGTTACCATTTTGAACATACATGTTTTTTTGGACAGCAGTGATATGCAGTTATTCAAATTTTAAAAATCTTAAACGATTTCTATTAGGTTTTACGCTGCTCTTCCACCCCTACTATCTGTGCATGTCAGATCATAAGTGCTGCTCTCCACATGCATGCCTGCTGAAGCAGCGGGGGTTCAGATGTGAGCAGTGGCTATGAGGCCCGGGGCAGGTTTGACACTGGGACACAGTGGGGGCTGGAACAGTACGTGCATCCGCCACTTACCAAAGAATCCCATACAATTCTTTGTATGACAGCCTAAATTGCCCAACATGAAAAGGGGTTGGGGGGGGTAAGGGGTGAGGGTTTAATGGAAGACTCAGTGGTCCTCCGGTTCACTGCAGGAGAAGGGGGCCGCAGTGATGCTGCTGCTGCTTTAAAGTGGCTCTCGGAGCATGTGGGCTTCTTTACACCAACCAGAAAGAACAACCTACACCATCTCCTGCTCCCCACAAATCCACAAAGGGGGAAAAGAAAGCAACCCCCCACTCGTCTTTAAAAACCCTGAAGTCCACGTTTGCCCCGAGAATGCTTTTGCCATTAGCGCAATTCCACCAGAAAACACCGCAAAGCGCTTTACGAAGTGCTGAAAAGTAAAATGTGCACCAAATATCTCCAGCTTGTGCCTCATAAAAGCTATATGCCTGAAGAATCATATTTTTCTATTTTCATAGACTGATATTACAATAAGTCTTGTCAAGCCTCATTTAGGCACTCGTGACAGCGGCGCTCTAGAGAACGACTGGATTTGTGCTAAGCGTAAGGCAGCTTCGGGGGTAAAATTTCAACCAAAGCAGCAGGGCTTGGACGGGTTTCAGACGGCATGTCTGGTACGTAGAAATGCAGCAGAGGGCCAAAGAAAACAGAGCAGGTCGAGAGCGTGCATCGGACGCTGGCTTTTTGAGGGGGTCTGCACATTGTGACCTTGTAAAGAGGTTTTTATGAGGCAGTTGTTAAGGCCCAATGGCAAGGTATGGGTGCAGGGGGTAAGATGAGGTAAGAGGTGATTAAAACTGAGCTATCCTGGTTTCTCTAAAAGGAACTTTTACTGAGTGAGTGTATGTACATGAGCGCAGCTTGGCCTGAGTGCTAGTGCTTGGGAAAAGGGGACACTTTGCCTTCTTTTATAATTTTGTGAGTAATGCTTGATTTGAACTGGTACTTTTCAAGTAAGTAAGATAAAATATCTGTAAAGGTTTTGTTGTGCTATTCTTTAATACTCTGGGTACATTCTGTGTTCATCAAAGTGTTTTCCTTGATATGCAGGGCAGGTTTTGGCTTAATAGTGATTTGACAGTATTCGTTTTGAAGCTGCTGTTGAAAGCGCACACTGAAATTCTTTTACCTCAAAGATGGTTTAAACACTGCTGACATCACAACAACAGGACAAAATGTGCTTTGGTATTATTCCCAAGGTAGCACTGTCAAAAATATTTACATTACATTACATTTACGGAAAACATGCTCATTTAAAAACATTTTGAAAAGCTAGGTGTCCATAAACGTTTGGCGGGCAGTGTATTTGAGAGCTTGATGGTTATATGGACTCACTCAAGTATTCCAAACTGTTAATGGCAACACATGGTGCAAACATGAGGACTGCTGGAGAACAGGAGAGAGTGACGAGTCTTTCTTGTCCGAGCCTTTAGGAATGTCTATGAGCCAACAAAATGCACGCTATTCGCCAGATATCGGCACACAAAGAACAAGCTTTGCTGGAGAGCATTATGCTGTACGTGAACTTAGTCTAACTTTTAACATCCACAGCCTCGACTCATCTGTGAGTGATAATCTGGGCCTTACATAATGTCCCAGAGGTAGGACTGTGCTTCGGCTATTATTCGTAGCACTGCCTATTGTTGGCTTATAGACATGGTGTTAATATTGGTTTACCCTTAAAGATTCTTGTGGAGAAAGAGGAATAAAGAGGTTATTCTTAAAGAAAAGAGACCCACCACCACACTGACATAGTGTATTTGTCAAAATATATCACCATCACTATAAAAGCAACACTTCATAACCTACAATATAAAACATTTACAGGTTAACTACTGATGTGATGCGATAATCGTTCATTTGAGGTCACCAGAAGTGACCCAAGAACATATATTGTAGATAATCTAGAGCAAAGCATGTGGTACTACAAGTAATACTGATGTGTACAGCCTACATTGGCTACATTCATGCCTCACTAGAGCTTGACAGGTGGATAATGTTGTTGCTTCACACTGTGAATTGAAACTCTTCTCCACACCGCGCCTATGGGACTATATTAGATGCTCACTGGGCAGTTATTTATCTTTCTACAGGCTAAATGACCTCAGCTCTACGGCACCCTCCTCCTTCAGTTGGGGAACTTACACAGGTTGAAGTAAGGGGTTTGTGGCGAGACGGGGAAGGCAGGGGTTTGGGGGAAGACCTCACCGCCCATAACTGGTGGGGGGCTTATGGGACCCCCCTCCATCTCCTCAAAGGCCTCCCTGTAACTGTGCATATGTCCCTAGAGGAACAGAAGACAGGTCAATACACACACACACAAATAAACATGTACAATCATACATGTGTCTGCATGCACTTGCACACATATAAACAGAAACCAAACCCCCACAACTTATTGTCGATGTCATAAAATAACTTTTCTTGTGACAACAAATTCGTATGAAACAAAAAAAAGGCAAAAGTCATAAATCAAGATTTCAAGTCGGCTCAAAAATCCACAGATATATCATTTAGACAAAAAATTGGCAGTAGGAGGTAAGTCTACCTCCTTAGGCCGGCCCCCTGGGTTCAGAGCAATTGTATTGGCCAATTCTGGTGAAATACAGCGAATGGGAGAACGGACATGGGTGGGGCTCTCATCTTTCTCATGGGACTGTCCTTCACTTGTAGTCCGGCGTCGTCCTGGCGCTGAGTCTTCATCCAGGGCCATCTCTCGAGATTGGACACCTGCGAACCCCACCAACAACAACACGGTAACCTTTAGTCAGTACAGATCTCTTGCAAATAATAGTCACAAAGTGCTTCACAACAACTTAGGTGAAACTGCCAATGACCTTTTAAGACTGTTCTTTTTCTTATTAAAGTTGCAAAGGGCTTTGAAATCTAACAATTGAAGCCTGTTTGGAAGTGTTTACCACAAACAATGCACTCATTGAAACAGCCCTGATTTCCAGTAGCACATCAGAGAAATGCTACGAATTTATCCTCACATATGGTTAATGTGCTTTGGCTGCTAACACTCTGGATCGACCTCAAAGCAGGCTGTAAGCTCTTTTTCATCGAGTCACGTTTGATACCAAAAGCAGTATCTATAAAGCAAACAGGATTTGTGTAAAATTCTTTCGCTACCAGTGGCAGTGGTGGGAGAGTAAAGGACACTCTCACCAGTAGCTGGTCTTTGTAAATATGGATGTTTATTCGTTTAAACACCAAAGTCCTTTTATGTACTGAAATATCAAGGGCAAAAGAGAGGGCAAAATTTAATATAAAAATGGCTCACCCATACTCACCAATGACTTGCTAATCCTTAACCTTTTTCTGCAGGTCTCCTAATTGACTATGGCATTTTCATTAACGTGATCAAATAAAATATTTTTCTTTTTAACTCTGTTGTTCGATTAACTAGGACACTCTTGGCTCTCTGTGTTTGAAAAGTTATGACTCTGTGTTGAGCTGCTAGCAAGCAATGATGGGTTAACCAGGAGGGGGATGAGGTACCCCCAGCTGTACAAACAAGTCACACCTCTCCACAGAGACAGCCTTGCTGAGATATTATAGCTACAACTGCAGCTTCTTTCATTTCAAACTGTACTGCCACCATAAAAATGGCTTTTAAATGAAATAAAAACATTCATACGTTTTGTAAATCATGTGCATTTCAATTGGAATATACTTCAACAAAGAAAAAAATGGTTTGTGCTAAAACTGAAGGACCTCCAAAGCAGGCGGACATTTTGCGGCTACTGTGAAAAGGGGATAAATTGTCAAATTGAGCCCATTTGGTAGCCACATAAAACCGCTGAGCCATCCTGTTGACCTCCTGTAGTTCATCAACATAAAAATGTAGTACATAAACACGGAAAACAACAAATGTATGCAAACAGGGTGATCTAGGTTTAGTTTTTACACTTAACACACTAAAGAATTCCATTACATAAAGAGAGAGCAGCTGATCCAAGATCAGAGCCCTCCCTCCCTCTGTCATCCACATGAGACAGGTCCTCAGACCATCCCAGCTGTCTCCAAATCAGCCTGCATAGTCATACACAGCCCTGTTCCCATCCCACTGCAGTCCACCCCAGACGGGGGCGTGCAGAAACACACCCTGGTGTGAGACAACAGAGTGTTTCGGAAACCAGGCAACAGCTCGAGCAAAATATTTACCAGCTCTCTCTCCCGGTCATGGAGCAAGTGAGCCTCGTGGTATATCCACAGCTCCAAGCCACAGAACAAAGACCAATAGCTGCTCACACTGGTGCTTCCACATCTCCAGTGCCATCAATTCCTCCTCAGGGACTAGTGGGCACTGTGGCTGTTGAAGCCAGGCCCAAACCCACAATGCCAGTCATAAGAGAGCATGCTCATTTAAAGCAAGAGTTTGGCCACAACTTACACATTTTTCCTCTTAGCCCAATAGCAGCCAATCAGCCAAAACATGGGTAGCGTCTGAAGTTTGCTACTTTGGTGCACTGGATATATGAAGCTAATGCTGATAACAAGTAATGGAAGCTGACACATGACATTGTCTATGGATAAAAGAATGGACACAATTCAGGCTTCGAGGCTGTTACTATCAGCTACCTAACATGCTTTTATTCGTTTTACATCAGACACTCAGTGTCAGAAACCATTTATTCAATTCTGTTTGAGATGCATTTGACTGTTAGACACTATCTGAGATAAACAACTCTGCATGCTTTTGGTAGATATGTGATCATTTATGCATGCGCAAACAAAGTGTCTAAGTAAGCTGTTCGGTCACAACAAGCTGCCAGAACAGCTTCAAAGCACCTTGGCATGGATTGCAGTCTTTGCAGCTATACTGGTGGGATAGATCACCATTCCTCAAAATAGATATTCCCTCAGTAGGTGTTTTGATGATGCTGGTGAAGAGTGCATCAGTCCTAAATCTCCCATAGCTGTTTGACATCAGTTTGGTTGACAGATGACGTTCACTATTTTTAAACTCATCAAACAATTTAGTGTCCTCTATTGCCCAGAGGATGGTAGCACTCACATCTTAGAAGAGATTCGCATCAGGATGTAAATATTCCATCATAGGATAAAAGTCATTAATCAGAATATCCTTAAATTGATTGGCAGTGACACTTTCCTGTAAGGGAATGAGTGGACCCAGCAAAATGCCCATAACAGAGCCACTGGAGCTCCTCACTGTATGAGCAAGTATTCAGGCCTTTACTGTTCTCTTGGTTCTCTAAGCCACACATGCACTCGCCCAGTTGTGGAGAATATAGTGAACATCATGATTCATCTGACCATCACTTTTTTCCACATCACTGTAGACCAGTGCCTATGGTTTTTGCAGCACTCTCCCTTTGTGCATGTGCATTCATCTTTGGAATGAGGAGTTTATGTCCTTCATCCCTCTCAGTGCAGCTGTGGCCAGACTGTTCATGCTGACACAGTCTGATCGCATCCATTGACAGTTGCAGGTCATGCCCATTGACAGTTGCAGTCACCTGAGAAGCAGTTGCTCTTTTCATTACACATCACACTAATGCACTAGTGCATTGAATGTACACTTCAATGCATTTGTCAGGATGTTAACTGCTTTACTGTATCATGTAGTACACCCATCTGTAAGCACTCACTTTGTTTATTTATTTCATTTTTTTTTTTTGTCACCCATCTGTAGCTCCAGCAGGATGCTAAAGAAGGAAATTTTTGATATTAAACATGTCTAAATAGCTAGATTACGATTGCGGATTTTGGTAAGAGGAAAATTTTGTAAATCTCATCATTTAAATGGTTTCTGGCCACAAAATAGATGGATTAGGATAAGGTCGTCTCATGGTGTTACAAAGAGAGGGACTCCTAACAGTCAAAACAAAGTTGTACGTACAGCACCATCCATCTGCGGCCTATTCACAGTTCTGGAGGCCGTATCCAAGAGTGATGTCAAACACAAAGACCTTGGATTTATTGATCTGGGAGGAGAGGCCGGTGTTAGGACGGATCTGGATCCTGGCCTGTCAACGGGCCCTGGAAGAGTCGTCCCTCTTCAAGCCAGGACCAGAAACATGCAAAACAGACGGAATGACACAGCACTGCTCCACAGCTGTGCGTGTCAAACACTGTTACCGTTTCCTCGGCAACCGTGCAGGCCTAATGCGCTCAAGCTGGAGCAGTAGAGAAATCCCAAGGCCTTTTTTCCCTCTCATCTTCAACCAATCTGCAGAGGAGCCACAGGAGAGGAAAGGACAAAAGCTTTTTTTCCTTTTTCATTCACTTCTCTAGGCATAAAAGAGCTCACTCTTTCCCTGCAACAGAGAAATGTTATCTGGGATGAGGTCTAAGAGATCCTTAGCCTACTTTTAGGCTATTGTGGAGCCTCTGTTGAAGTTGATGTGAGTCGGAAGAGCTGAGCGGAAGCTGGCATCTGGCTGCTGTACAGTGAGGATAAAACGCAGTTCACGTCCTAGACATTTATTCCCTAATGGCAGATAAGGGCTGTACAGTGGTTCAGGGACCGAGTAGGATTTATTACGCTTTGTCCGCTCCTAAATGCTACAGCAGACGTGGAGGAGAGGCCCTGAAAGAATCCTGTGTCTCTACGCCTCCGTATTGTTCGGCTAGTTTGGCAAACTGTATCTTGTGACATGCACTCGGCGGACGCAGACAGAGTGGCCTTTGTCTGTGCACGTCTCACTCTTGTGAAACCTTCACTCAGCCACTAATACAAATGCAATTAGTTTGTTGGGGTCGTCAGCAAACCGCGAGACCCAAACGGGTGCAAACGCTTTGCACTCAGACTAACAGAAGGCAGGAAAGGCCAGAGTCAGTTCATGTCTTACAGAGCAGAGTTCATTTGAGGGGGAAGTTGGAGAGAAAATAAAGTGAAATTCCACACAAAGGAGGTGTTATGGATAAACATGGTTACAGAGAGAGAGAATAAAGCACTGCAAAAATGTATATCTTGGTAAGTGGAATCATCTTAAATCAGACGATATCTAATATGACATTATTGTAGGAGTATTATAAATGATTTGGCCTGACATTCTTTGGATGGCCCCCAAAAGATTATCTATAGATGTTCAAATTTTTAACACTGTCTGTTGAAACATAACAGTGTTAGAATTGGAGTTAGTTTTAGTACCACAGTTAAGTTAAACACCAGCATGAGGGTTAGATTTAGGTTTCGGGTTGAGGTTAGGGTTAAAAGATTAGGGTTAGGGCAGGTTCAGGAAAAGTAAGGTAAATTAAATAGATATTTAGCTGAATACAAGTTAAATGCAAGATGAGCATCTAGAGTAGGCTATCCAAATAAAGTTGACCAATTATTTACCTTTTTCTACATATTTTTTAGACAATTTTGCTGGTTTTAAGCTAAATTATCTGTCAACAGAATAAGACGTCATTGCTATGTGTGACCTGTCCAGGGTGTTTTCTGCCTTCCGCCCAATGAGCGCTGGGATAAGCTCCAGCACTCCCACAGCCCAGCATGATAAGCGGCTTAGATGATGAGCGAGTGAGTGATATAAGAATCAGTCCTGAGCACTGCATGTCAGAAATAAGATAATTTCTCTAGATAAAATGAAGTAAAAACTAAAAATAAGTTGAATAATCTCATATTATTTTTTACAACAATCTCAAAATGAGAAATATTAGATATATTGACTAGATTTAATATGTTCCACTTGCCATCACCTATTTTTTCGCAATGTGCAATAAGAGGTAGATATAGAGAGAGAAAGATTCAAAGAGAGTGACAGATGGAGAAATAGAGAAATGTGAAAAAAAGACGGAAAGAAAGAGAAAGAGAAAAATAGAGATATATGGCAGAAAGAGAAAAAGAGAGAGATGGAGAGTGAGACGGAAAGACAGAAAGAAACAAACAGACAGATAGAGACAGAGAGAGAGGGACCAACCAGAGAAGGAGAGAGAGCGGCGGCGGTGGTCAGGTTGAGGAGTTCGGTCAGATGGGTCAGTGAGTTGGCGGATGCGGGCAGTGTACTCTACACCAGGAGGGAGGGAAGGAGCACAGGGATGATGGAGGGCAGCAGGAGGTGACAAAGGAAGGTGGAGAGGAGGGTGGAGAGGAGGTGATGATAAGATGAGCAGTCCACATACAGGACGAATGAATACGGAAGGAGAAAGAGAGAAGAAAAAAAATCAATTTTTTGAAAAAAAAAAAGAAAATTAATGTTGTTCAAAGAAGAACTTTAACAATTTCCCAAATTATGGCATATTCCAAAGGATGTGATGTAAACAAAGTCATGCAGAGTGGTTTGATGTGAAATGGCTAACTGCTGAGAAATGTATCAACTAAGATTTGTTACAGTGGTGGCAATAGGAACCAGGGGTCATCATGTCTATTATACAAATAAAGATGTTTTTTGGATATTATCTCCAAATTATAGTAAAACAATGTCTTATGCATCAGGCAGCATATTCATAAAAATCCATACAACAACTTTGTGCGAAGGAGCTTTTAGAGGCATTAATCCATCAGGCGTCTGGTTCCTATCACCACTGGGAACTGTTTTGTCTAGGCAGGTTTCTTTAGAATGATGCATTTCACATCAAACCACTCTGAATAACTTTGTTTATATCTTAGCTATTTAAATTAAAAAAAAAATGGTTGAATTACCTTTTAACAATGGCCTGAAAAAAACAAGCCTAAAATCTAATCAGCCTAGTTTCCAGACAAAGAATAATGATCATCCTAGATAAGCATGGATCTCTTATTCATATGCAATCTAAGAGCAGAAAATCAAACAGTATTAAGCATTTTGGCCCTTCACTGTGGCATTGTTACTTAAAATCTGAAGAGGGTGGAGCTCAAAACCCCCATATTTTATTAATTCTAAAGCAATTCAGAAATAATCCAAGTGGTAAATCAAAAATGAGCGCTGGTATGTGCTTACCCTGCATTTGCCTTTAAGACAATCAGCTCTATCTGTGTGAACCTGCCTCAGACAACACGTGCAAGCAAAGTGTTCCCATAATCCCCAAAAGGGCCTAGTCTGATAAGGAGAACATGCTAAGTGCTCGCAAGGAACAGTGATCGAATGTGAGAAAAAATTGGAGAAGAAGCCCAAAAGAATCTGTCTCTCCTGCGGTCGCTTGCTTTTTACCAATATTTGTCTGTGTCAACAGAGGTCAAGGCATGCTAGTAAAAGAGAAATGTGGCAGTCTTATAAAGAGTCTTTCCTCTGTTAGGTTGGAGGCTTAGCGTAGCTGAGACAACTCTCTGCTTATGTTTGCCTGAGATGGGGCATGTATGGCTGGAGAGCCATTCCAGATGAAAGGGAAAACAGTTTTACTTATTAGGATCTCACCTCTGCAACCTCCATGATGCTCCTCAACACACGTCCCAGCTTCCCCTAACAGCCTGCAGTCAATATTTACAGCACTTTGTAAATACAGATGCAGTCTGATGGCTTCCATTCATTGCTAGAGACACCACTAGAGGGCAACTGTGTTCAGCCACAATAAATTCTCCATTCCTATCACTCAGTACGCAGCTTGTGACAGCCCTACTTTGTAGTAATGTATAGCTTCATACTTGAGGCTCCTAGACTCTGAAACTGAGACTCCTTATGCAGTTTGCTTTTCTTATCTTTGCCCAGTGAAGCAAACATTTGAACAGTCCTGGTCAATTACACTTGTGATAACTTTAAAGATTTGCATCTGGAATAAGCCTGGGAATAAGAAAAAGGCTATATTTGACTCAACTACCCTCACCGTGATCACATGAGACATCATGCAAATCTTAACAAATGCAAAATGCTTTAACCTTGGTTGACACTGTGACAAAACGCTCCTCAGAACTGGAAAGGACAAATAATGTTTGGCTTAAAGGATTAGTTCAGCAAAAACCCATGGAACATTTTACTGGAAGGTAACATTTGTAGGGCTTTATGACACCTACATGACTACTAACATTATATCTGAATCATACTGGTGTCAGCAGACATTTGCTTAAGAAAGATAGATATTGTACAGATGTTTAGATCTGACCGATATTTAATACTGAGACTTGATGACATAATAATTATACTCCAGAAGAAGGGAATGTTTAAGTAAGTAATGTTAGGCTATTGCATTAAAATTGCTAGTAAGAGCTGCGTATGTAATTCTAAAGAAATAAATGTTATATTCTTTCTATTGCTAATTTAGGTGCATTTTATACATTTTTATGTATTGGTATCAGCAGGTATGTACATGAGAAACATCAGATATCAGCATCATGGGCCCTCATATCACTTCATTCCTATATTCATCCACTTTTATAGATTTGTGTGTTACACAGCATTAGAAACCACATAAGCCCGAGCCAAGTGTTTGTTGATTTAGGCATGCAATTTGCACTATGCTAACTGGAGGAGTATAAGCTAACATTACTTGTTAGCTACAATAGCCTCTCAGCTCCAGTGCAAAACCAAATAAATACGATTTGGACAGTATGTCTTGGCTGGTTGATTGAGTTTGAAATAAGGGGGAAATAGTGTGAATTTGATTTCATGGCAAAACTATTTCTTTTACCTGCCCAGACCGAGCTTCTCAAAAGCAAGATGTGAACATCCTGCAAGCATTCAGTGATCCTTACTCTATTATCTCCAGCTGATTTTTTATGCTGCTTTGTTTAGAGGGGAACACGGGGCCCTGTTCAGCGCTTCAGAACCAGATTTTTTAAGCACTTCTCCAGATGCATTGTACGAGCGCTCTGTTCTGGCAGAGTGAGTGTGCGCGGCCACAGTGCAGGAACAAGGCCTGATAGCAGAGCTGGAGCCAGCGACACTTTACACAATGCTCTCTTTGTGATCTCACTCAGCTCATGTCAGCACCAACGCACAAACACAGAAGAAAGACACGGCTGTGTGTGCCTCTGAAGTCCAGTTATCCAATCTATGCATGCTCCCTAAAAAAGCTGGGTAGCTAAGAAAAGACAGGAAGCATTTGTCTTTGATTTGCTTCCTTTGATTCCACCTTTTGCCTCACACTCTGTTATGGGGTTTGACAAACTCATTCATGGAGTGAAGAGGCAGAACGAATATCTCTCGCCCTAAGTTCACATTAGCAGGCGACAGAGTGAAAAGTGACCAGTCATTGCCTGTAGGTGAAGAAGATTTGCAGGTGCAATTCAGTGATGAGTGACAAATACAGTTGAGATTTTCTCAGTTTCATGCAAATGAATTGTGATACGGGGACGCAACAATCTCAATCATTGGCTCCAACAAATTCCTCAAAACAATCACAAAGACCCCAAACAGAAGAGAAGCATATACACTTGTAAATTTATAATGTCCATATATAGAAGACTTTTTTGTCAGAAGCTGGACAGAGTGCACATCAACGTGTGTCATTAAGATTTGGGGTGACTGACTTGTTGCCTCATAATGCGAACATACAGTTAGAGGCTGCCCTTATCACTGGTCAAATCAAATGTAATTCATTATGTAACTGTCATTTGTTATGCAATGCTGTAACCATATTTAAGTAGCATAACAAATTGACAGTAATAATTGCAGCATGGAAGATTAAAACAGGTTTCAGCTTGCCTGCCACACGGTGGGCTACCAGCCCCTCCAGGTTGTAGTTGCTGTCCTCAGGTTCGGTCTCTCTGGGCAGTGGGGAGGATGAAGAGGAATAGCTCCGGTGCGGGACAGTATGTGAGTCTGACTCCAGTGGATCAGGGGACTGAGAGACTGTGCTAGCAGGATATGTATTGAGGGGCTTCAGCTGCAGACCGCCAACCATAGGGGAGGGCCCAGAGGATTGGAGTGGAATAGGACCATCCTGTTCAGCAGCTGAAAGGGGGTATGCATCAGATCTCTGAAGGCTGACCACCTGCTGTGGTGCTTCTGTGAACTGGGGCTGCACCGGAGATGGAGTTTGCTGAAATGGAACGTTCCTTTGCTGCACCTGGTTGAATCCTGCTGGAAAGGTTCCCGAATGGGCATGTATGGCCACATCAGCCTGATAGGAGGGCCGAGCCTGCGTCTGAGCGAAGGATGGCTGGGTAGTGACCACCACCCCATCGCCGGATGGAGCACTGTAAGACTTTGGCACCTGGGTGTTATTACTAAGGGCCGGGTCCAGGTCCATCATCAGCAGGTTCAGAGTCTCGATGGACTGCTCGATTTCTCGCTGTGAAGCGGCTTGGGGAAACTCGGGCAGGCTGTGGGTCTGCAGTGCTGGGCCGAAATGAATGCCGTCTGTCACTGGCTCCTCTGGGACACCATACTGCTGCCATACATTGAGCCCCCTCTGGACAGCATCCCTGCTACTGGTGGTGCGGGCAGGGGCTTTGGGCATAGACTTCAGCTCAAAGTCTTTGCTGGGTGTGGCACCGAATGACTGCGAGCGGTAAATGCTACCATTCTGGCTAGCATAGCTGCTGGACAGGGGTCCAGAGTCACCCACTTGATCCTGAGTGGAGCCAGGGAGGAATGTCACAGGTTCTGGGGTTTTCTCTTGTATGCCCTTCTCCAGATAGGGTGCGTCCTGACCATTTATGACAGTCTCAGGTTGGTAGTAGAGATCAGCAGGTGTGGCCCGGCCTTCGAACGAAGAGGACAGTGTCCCCAGACTGTCCACACTATTGCCCTCTTGGCTGTTGGGCAGCTCATCATCCAAGATGTCAGTCTCCCTGTCCATGTTGCTATGTCCATTCACATGGACCTGAGCCGGGACCAGGTGAAGAACTCCACCTCCTCCCCCTCCTCCGCCTCCCCCGCCTCCCCCAGGGCCACTTGCGTATCCCGGCCGGTGCATGGGAGCCTCCAAGCCACTAAGCAGCTGGTCTAGCTCCTGCTTCTCCTCAGGGCTGAGGGGCTGGGGGGCCGGCGGCTGGCTTACTGGTGCCGGCTGTTGGTTGGCTTCATCCGTGCGGTCAGTTTTGATGGAGGCGGTTGAATTGCCCGAGTCACTGCTCACAGACAAGGCGTGGTCAACAGGGGGCAGGGCGTGCTCAACCGCAGCTGGGAGGCCGTTGGCTGTAGCGTCCAGAGACTCCTTCTTTCGGACTTTTGCGTACAGGCTGCCGTCCAGTGGACCCTGTGTGTGAATGACGTCTGCGGGAAAAACAGAAACAAAGTGTTGTCTGTTACTAGTCCTTAGATGTTTGTTCAACAGCCAACTGCATCAGCATCTGTTTGAATCTTTCTAAATTGTTTTACACCAAAGGAAAGGAAAGTGAAGCAATGGCATACAGCAGTAAAATTAGAGAAGCTTGTTTTGTAAGCCTTTAAATGTTTAAGTACTAATCACAAACATGTGTTTTGTGTGTGTTTACGCACAAAAACACCTGCATCCAACTAATGCTGCATGACTGTGCGCTGGTGCAAGACTATTACGTAATCTACAACAGGAGACAAAAAGTGATGCTGAGTCACAGAGTATCGCTATGCACCAAAAGCTGATGAATTACTTTGTTTATCCTACTGAATGTTAAACAAAAGGAACTGGAGACCAACTGGAAAATAATGCGTTAATCGACTGTATTACAGTTCTACTTCATGCTATTATGAACCCCTCCCTCCATAAAGACACCCACACACATGCAAACCCACCCTTGGGTAAGATTCAACGACAGCTTCCCAAGAGAGCTACGAGGCTTCTTATCCAAAGCTCTGACTCACCCGTGGAAAAATAGCCTCACAAGTAAAGGTTGGAGGCATTTCCTGCCTTCTTGGAACCAAGGAATCACTGCTTACACCCTCACACACACACTTTTTGGCTTGGGCAGCTGGGAAGTCTATTTGTCTGCAGCTCTGACAATGATGGTTTTGTTTTCTTGTGGTTGAGTTTTGTCACAACACATTATGTTGGACACTGACCTTCCCAAACCACTGAGCCACTGCTTGCTCTGCAGTATCAACTTTTACTTTGCTTCATTTAGTGGGGCTATTGAGAAATTACTTCTCTTTTTCAAGGCCACCCTCAGTTTCCCATTGTGCCAAGACAGAATTTGAACAAACAGCTTCATAGTTGCTAATTTGTGACTCTAAACACTGAAATTGCTGCCTTCTGTCCTGAAGCTAAACTCACTATATGTGAATGTGGCACTTGTTCATCCCAGAGACTGAAATATGTGCATAACTAAGAGACATTTACTCATCCACAGGCTGCAAAGTATTGGTGTGTGTGCGTTAAAGAGACCAAACATCACTGATTCAGTTAGAGCCAGCATGGAACACCTATGCTAGATTTCCCATGATGCTTTAATGCAGGGTATTTGAGACTCAGATCTGATGACATGGCTGAGAACACTGTGCTGCTGAAAACTTCAGCACAAGGCAATACAAGTTAAGCTGTAGGCTGTACTGAGCTATTTTAAAGTTAATGTAAGAACAGTAAGTAGGGGAGAGAAAGACTTAATGCATGTTGTTTTTTTTACTAAATATTTTGTATAATATTTGAGCATGACTTTTTATACAAGCAAGTATCTGATGCAAATTAAATGTAAACTTTGCTACCAGCACCTGCTATTCTGAACAGTCCAGCCAAAAGTGATCTGAGTGCAAATGTTACAACTTGCCCATAGGTGGGGATTATTGTAACAGATTGAGAGGCTAGTTGTAACAGTCAGTAAAAAGTCTGGTAAAGTGATGCAATCACAATTTATTAAATACAATTACATGTAACATGTTGTTTGAACCAAATGAGCTTTCCATCATATCACTTTATTTGTTTATTTAATAGAGGCAATACACATTTATCAACATCATTTCATAAAGTAAATCTGCCACATGTAGCCATATGGTTGATTTTGGTCATTAATTCCAGCCTAAAATATATAAAATATAAAATATATATAAAAATATATATGCATCAAAATAAATATTATTAGCAAAAAAAAAGACTGTGTCAAAAACTGCTAAATTTATTTTATCTAAAGCAGTACACACACACACACACACACATACATATATATATATATATATATATATATATATACATCTAAAAATGTAATTGTTTTGAATTTACTTGGGAGGATATGGACCTCTCTTGTTTAGATAGGCTTAGTTGTAACACTGTAACACTAACCCAGCCATGTGGAGGCTCTTCTAAATAACAGTCAGTTATTTACATGCTTCAAAATAGTGCTATATTACAGGCGTGAAGAGGGCATTTAAAATAGAATTAATAAATTCTGTGACGTATACATGCAATTCACTAATTAAAAAAATACTAATTGGAAAAACAAAAATACTTCCATGGGTGTTCAAAGTGAATCTCGAGAAATGTCTGGCTGATTATCAAAATTTGCAGATGAGGTTGCTCTAGGAATACAAGAAGATGACCAAAAGCATGTTGCCAGCCAGTATCCTGCAACTCACATATTAGCACCCAAAATATCAGGAGACGGCATTAAAGCAGGAAGTTGTTTATTTATTCATGCTTTCCAGTTCTGTTATAGCCAAAAACACAGGATCAATAATGGCTCAGCCATTGTTTTTTGTTTTTTCCAAACCTTTTATTTCAAAAATGATCACCAAGTGAACATGCTGATGGTTAAAATGACTCACTATTAGGACAATGCGAGTGAATGACGCTTTTTCCCTCTTACCAAGCCTCATCTTTCTCTTTTCATATTAGATAGATGGCTTGAGTCGACCTAGCAGCCTCTTGGTTGTTCTTGGCTCTCTGAGTCATGACCTCTGCCCTGGGCTATTTAGGCATTTGACCTAGTAGGGTCAGAATTTGATCAAAATACATAAGCTGATGTCTGTCAAGCCTCTTCAAAAAGAGCTGCAAACTGAGAAAGTCTTATAAATGCAATTTAAGCAAATAGGAATGTACTGCAAAGTAATACAGTAAAACATATAATTCCTGATTTAAGTAATGGAAAAAAAAAACAAAACACAACACATTTACTGGCTCACTTATCAATTCAATGGCTCCCATTACAATTCAATTCTGGATCATTACAATGGAATACAGATGGCATCTACTGTGTACAATTGTGTATTTTTCCTTTGGATTTTTTTTTTCTTTTTCCAAACACTGATCATTTCTAGTTACTACAAGCACTCTTTTCACAACAGCACCTCTAGTTTGCATAGGATACACCACATAGTGCACAGTGTTCTTACCGAAGTACTGCTTGGGAGCATTTCAGATGTGCTTTAAAGGGACGGGCCAAACACACTGGCTCAAAGGCGTGAGTTAGCTTCGTTTCAATCAGACCAGGCTTAACGCCAGCACTTCCCTTTAATAGCCAGACCTGGAAAAAGTGAGTTTTCCCCCCATCGTCCAACACTGGCTGCTGTTTCACCAGAAAGTCCCCAGTTTTGTTGAGGCTTTCCAGAATTGTAGAGAAGCAGAGACGCTCAGCTCAGCGACAACGCTCAAAGCAACTTCACACATAACTCCATCCTAATTAAAACTTAAACCGTGACATTTGCCTCAGTGGGATCAGACAGACTAAAGAGTTCTCATGTTTTATTTACACCTAAAAACACCCTTATGACTCAATGGTGTCATGTGAAGACCTGATGTGGTCATTAGCCTCCAGACTCTTCATGACAGCCGGCTTTACAAATGTAAGGAGACACACCTCTCTGTTGAAAAAGGAACCGCCTTCTATTTCAGCGTGCGTTTTTATCACCTGCTTATGAGCTCCAGCGATCCACCATGGTTACCATATTACGCTCAACATCCTCCCTTCCCCACTCATCACTCGTATAAATAGCTAACACATGGCAGCACTCGTATAAATATCTAACACGGTAAAGTGCTCTGAAAGGGTGTTATTATTTAAAGTTCCAAATACTTAAGGAAAACAGAGGAGCTGATCGACCCTCCCTACCTGTCGTAGCGTCCCGGTCCACAAGCTCCACTGCAATTGTCAGAGTGTATTGAAGAGTTGCAGTTTTTCTTCTGCTCCCTTTTCTTCTGCTAGCTGAACATTAGCGAGTTGTGGAGGGGGAGCAGGCTTGGCTCACACTCCTCCTACTACTGCCACAAAACTCATTCTGACAGAGTCTGACCAAAACGTTCTCTAAAGGATGACCCGTCTCTCTCTCACTCTCCCTCTCTCTCTCTCTGCGTCCTCTAACCCTGCTGAGATGGGCGTGATTTTATCCTCTCCCAGCTGAGCGATGCCTAACACTGTGACATCACAGGGCCTTTTTCTGTCTGTCCACGCTCTTCTCTGACACTCACATACTCAGATCCTCTCACAGACTCACTCTCATCTGTGTGTGACAACCTATATCACCCTTTGACACCCATAATCACAGGAGGAGGACTCGCAGGCTCAAATTAAACTGCATGCAGAGTCAAAGACCACCCTTCAGTTATTTAATTTCCAGTCAAAACAGCCAAGTACAAATTTATTTTCAGCATCAGAAAAAAGTCCAAAACATATATTTAACAGAAAATTACCCTGAAGCATCGACAGCTAAATATTATATAAAACTTTTTAGCTTTTGTTCAGTGTCCAACTTTTGCCTTTATTACAGCTTGAAAGAGACTTGCTTTCAATTTTCCAAAGAAATCTGCAGGGATATTTTTCCACACCTCAAAGTTCAGTCTTAGAAGTTGGTTGCATTTTCTGATTCTCACAACCCAAGTAACCCCAAACACATTCAATGTTGGGCTCTGGAGTGGCCTGTCCATTTGAGAATGCCATCAGTTTCTTTGTCTGATTTGCTTTTTTAATTTCCTTTTCTCAGTAACAGCTCCAGTTTTAGAAATTGTTTTTTTCCCACATGCTTTCCTTTGACTTTCCCCTTCCTTATGCAGGTGCATTATCTTATATCTAACTTCCTTAGAAATACTTCCTGAAAAATAAGTAACTTGTACTTAATGGCCATTTGCACAGTAAATTAAATAAATTAGCCTTCCTCAGACATTTACACTGTGTAACCAAACTGGCTACCAATACCTAGGTATTCCTGAGAATGGGATGAGTTGCCCCCTGAGTGATGAGTGTAGAGAAGCGAAAGTGAAACAAAACAAATACTATATAATAATATATAATATATATAATAATAAATCTCATCTCTAACAAGGACACAAGTGTTACAGATGCAAAGCACCAAATGCTATTTTAGTGCTAATAGCT